TTTTTTTTTTTTTTTTTTTTTTTTTAGTAAAGTTTCTGCATTTACACTTTTATATGGCTGGTGGTAGGAAACTATTTTCAAGAACTCCTTATTTTTCTGTGATGTCTTCTAGTTGTAGCTGGCTTTTGAGATTTGAGTCTGTTGCAACATCCTAACTCTGAAATTTCTTGGAGATGAAAAGTTGTCAAGTATTTGATCTAGCCCCTGTTTTTTTTTCACTGGTCCGTAATGCTTTTTTTTTTTTTTATCCTCAGACAATGTGGGTCTTGGGATATAAGGAAGAAGAATCTATTAGAACAACTATGTTACCTTGGCTAAAGTAGTACATTAAGTAATAACAATAGTATCAAGCAGCATCTAGAAAATAACAATCTGTGGTAATTATTAATTTGAAGTCTTTAGCCACGTGGACAAGATTTGTAATTATTTAACAAAATCTAAAACCACCCAGAAAATTGTATACAAAAAACATCCTCTCATTGAAGTGATTTTACCCTCAGAGGAGAAAATTTACAAGGAGTAAGAGGAAAAAAATAGAGAATGTGAAGGAGGGAAAAAGATAAGAAGGAAGGCTGAAAGACAAAGAAACATTATAAAAGTTTGGGAAGCTGGTAAAAAAAAGATAGGATGAAAGGAAATACGGAAGAAACAGAAATAAAAGCAACCAAAAACTAGAAACAATGTTCACACTTGCCTTAAAAAACAATCAAGAAAAATATAACAGCAAAAATGTAAGAAAAGATAATGTTTACTTCAGGGTGTGTATCTGTTTTCATTGGTAGACAAAGGGTAATATGAACTGCAGAGTGATATGAACTGTGCAGTTCATATTACCCTCCTGCATCACTCTCAAAAGGTGCTGGGATTATAGAAATTTGCCACCACTCCTAGCTTTCTAAAATATTTTTGATGGTCTCAACAAATAGTATTTTCCAAGAAAGCATTGCCAACAAATATATGTGAATAAAATTGAGATATAAAGCACATCCTTATTGCATTGGATTCTCACAAGATATGAGATAAGCATTATTGTGCCCACTTAACAAGTAAGCGAACTGAGGCTAAGAGAGGTAAAATACCTTCTCCAAGTCACTTAGATGATATAAATAATCCTTTATCTCCTAATTTTCAAAAGCTAAAACTAGCCTGACATCTCCCAAGAGGTACTTAGTAAATATTTGTTGAATATTCACCAAATAGTTCAAGAAGATAAAAACAAAACAAAACTGCATCACTCAGTTCAGCATTGCTGTAAATATGATTTTTATTTTGAGCAGTACTACCATGTCTCAAGGGAGCTCAACCCTTCCATTGCTGCCAGATAATTTTATTTGGCTGGATATGTATTAGCTTATGACAGGGTTAATGATGCCTTCAGCTTACTGAACAAAGGAAAATGGAATTGTAGGAGTAATTTTCTAAATGCAATAGTGAGTGAAATTCTAAATGCAGCCATGAGTGAATTTCTAACTGTGGATTCAAATGTGCTGTGTATGTTTAAACTAATATTGACATAGACAGTAGAATACAGGTAGCATTTTCCCACTATTTTGGTTGCATTGTGTAATTCATTAAATAGAGTAGTAAAAGTTTTTCTTGCATCAGTGACAGAAATAAGTGAATTAGGATAGGTGAGCTGAGATCTTATGCTTAAGTAAAAGGATCTGCTAATTTCCTATGGCCTGTGTCCACTGAAGGGTCCCAGCATGTTCAGGGTCTTCATAGGCATCACAAAACCTGTTACAGTCATGGTCTCATGGGATTTTCATAAGAACAAACTATAAAAATGCTCGTGAATCTATCTGGAAATCATAACACATTAAACAGATAATGTAATAATTACTATCAGGTACTGAGGAATGTACCCTTTAAAACTAAAAGTAATAACTATATCATGTGGACCATTCACTTGAGGGTTGTCCGTCAAATATGAGGAAAAATGACACAATACTATTTTAAAATTGAACTCACTTTTGTATTTTAAAACTGTTTAATAGTTCTTTGCTTTTGTCTCATTTCAGAATTGTTAAACCTGATTTGAAGGCACTTGCAGTGGGTTTCCATTCACTGGTTTTTCGAACACTAGGTATGAGAACTATATTAAATTCAGGAGATGAGTATTCATGTAATAGCACTAAATCTAAATGTTATTAATTACTGATTACATGAAAGTTTAAGAAAATGTAAGTGAGAATAATTTCTATTTTCATGGTAAAATAATAAATAGGAGATAGGAGAACTGTTTGACCTTAAGCAGAATTTGATTGCTAATTCTAAAATCAATCTGTGAAAACCAAATCATTATCATATTTGTATTACACGCTATATAACGGAAAGACAGGCAGTTCCTATGAATTTTCTACTTAGGGATATTTCTTCCAGGTGGGCAGAGTGGAGGGTGCTTTTTCTAAATGGAAACACTATTTAGGTAATTCCTGAAGCATCTTTAGACACCTGAGAATTTGAATCTGAGAATGTGCAAAACAATGAAAATCTGAGATTTGCTCTGGAGCTCCTTACTGTTAAATGTTGTAAACCTGGGTGTCTAACCTTTACCAGAGGTTCAAAATGCCAAGGAGAATTAAAACACAGACTCTGGAATTAGTCATCTCGCTTTAAAAGAACACTTGCATTAACAAGAGCTTGGATGATTGTAAAATTTATCGTCAAAGAGTAGCAGCATAAGTTCTACAAGCTAAAGGCCTATTTCTCAATATTCAAATGAAGAAATTTGTCAGAGATATAGGAAATCATACTCTCCACCTTTTTATGATTTGCCATTTTTTCCCAGATGCCCATTGTTATTTTACCAACTTCTAACCTAACCCTTGTGGGTACTACTTTACAAGATTTAGAAATTTATGCTCATCCTTCATCTAGGGATTGGGCAGAGGGCTTATCTTGTAGCAACCAATTACTATTGGCAGAAGTTAAGGAAGTAGGGGAGCCGAACCCTGGAATCTCTTGAAGGCAAGGGAAGAAATATAAGACTGTGGCCAAATTACAGTGGAAAGCTGACCAGAAAGTGGATTTGAGAAGAATTTCATAGATCCTGAAAGGTGCAAATAAGAATTGCAGGGAATGGCCAAGACAAGAAGATGGGGGTGCTGTAGGATTCCACACCAGTCCTCCCTGCAATGTACTATGCTGTGCATCTCTCTCTTTCTCTCTCTCTCTCTCCCTCTTCCTCCCTTGCTCACTGTTGCTCTTTCTCTCTCTCACTCTCTCTTTCTCTAGATATAACTAGATATATCTCCCTATCTCTAGATATAACTGAGGTGCCTCCCTCCTAGAACCACATAAACCTAACACAGAGTCTGGGTTGGTAGTATTCCTTCTCTTATGCTGACATGAGACTGTGAGAATTGAAGAAATTCTTCAAACAACACACAATTTGAGTTTAACTTTAGGTGTTTTTGTTTGCTTTCCCCATAGAATTGAACTCAGGACCTCCTATGTCCAAGGGGAGTACTGTGCTGTGGAGCTACAGCCTCAGCCCGATAACATAGAATTTTTCAAAAGGAATTTTACCATTTTAATTGTACAACTGTAATTTGACATTGTGCTTGTGTTTGATGTGTCCTGTATATGGCTCAGTGAGACCCAAATGCTCCCATGGCAAACTACATACGAAGGACCAAACCTGTAACTCGTAGATATTTGCCTTGACTAAAATATAGGTGTGGATTGTGAAAGATTATATAGTTTATTAAATGGAAAATTACTTAGAAAAAAAGCCAGAAGGCGGAAAACTGCAATAATGATTAAGATCAAGATTTTTGTGGCCTTAAAAATTTAACTAATTGTTTGTTCCTATCAGTGCCACTATTTGGAAAAAAATTGATGTATTTTTCATCTTTCAGAGGGTGGGTGTAATTTTTCAAAATCTGCAAATGTCTCACCCCTTATATTCAGTACCACTTTCCTCAGATTTTTGTTTTTCAGTTATCTAAGTTTTTCAGTTATCTATTTTGTTTTTCAGTTATTCTAAGATTTCTTTATTTCACAAATTGAACTGAATTAAAATAAAATGGAAGAGAAGTATGATATATTAACCAGGGTCGTTCTCATATGAAAATTTTTTTTAAAAAATCATTGTCAAAATAGAAAAAAGAACGAAGTAAAATCATAAGTACATCATTTCTACCATTTCAATAATGGATTCTATCAGTTTGTTTGGCAAACATTTATCACATCAAAGTAGTGAGGATCAATGGAGAATACCATCCAGCTTCACTTGAAACCTGCCATGGATTGATGACTTGTTATCTCACGTTGCAGGAGGAATTCTAGCTCCAATATATTTTGGGGCCATGATTGATAGAACATGTTTAAAGTGGTCCACCACCAGCTGTGGAACCCGAGGGGCCTGTAGAATCTATGATACAGTATCATTTGGGTAAGTTGTGTTATATTATTTCATTCATTGATTTTCCTTTGGATTATGTTAATTCCAAAAGTATATCATTTTTAGTATAATAATAAATGAATAATTAAAGTCACCACTAAATGAATCCTCAGATTTTAATCAGTACTATATCAGACAGTGAACAATTTCATCTTGATACTCACAATAACTATAAAAATAAATGTTTTAGTCTTTTTCCCTGAAATATGATTAAAATTATGATTAAAGGATAATAACTAATTGTCTAAAATCATGTAGAAAAAAGAAAAATAGCTTGGATTCAATTCTATTATGTTTCTAAAAGTTTTCCTCACACCAAAAAATATCTTTAGATCCTTAGTGTTCTGTATGTGTCAGTTATCTGTATGTTCAATTCTTATCCCATACTTAGAAATTTTTCTGATATTATTTGAATAAATAGTTTTTTAATGTCATTTGTGCTCTCTTCTGATTTTCACTAATTCCTGTTTCTCTTAGTCTTCTTAGTGTCATCTAAGATGGATCCTTTTTTCATATTGTAGTATTGTTTTTAAGGTATTTTTCACTAATGCTCATTGTCTCTTGGTTTTACACTCTGTCCTCACGCTAGTTGTGTCTGGTGGCAGCACATTCAATAGAATTTTAATCTTGTGAATTTCTGTTTGTTGCTCGTTAGTACAGTGATTCTTTTTTATGCTGATAATTCATGTTTTTAGCTTCACTAGCTTATAATTGTCTTCTGTAGACTCCCTGCTTGTTTATTATGTCCATTGTCTGTTTAGTTATATCTTCTTTTTGCTCATCAAGCACCTGATTGATCTTTTCCTACCTCTTCTGTTATCCTTTTGAATAATTTGGTTGTGAGGCTTTTGATTTCTTCCTTTAAATGCCCCATGGATCAGTATTGGTGGAGTTGAGAGATTTTGGAAGTATTTTGCTAACTTTGCATGTTTCTATTTGGTTGTTTGTGCATGTGTGTGTGTGTGTGTGTCTGTGTGCACACACACTGAAGTTTGTAAATTAATTATAGTGGAAGATTTTGTTGCTAGGATGGAGACCTCCTTCATTAATGTCCGCTTTCTAGTGCTTTCCTCTGAGTATACCTAACCATAAGCCTTTGCCTCTGTCCCAGGAAAAAAAACATCTGTTTATTCAGGCAAAGAAGGTCCAGTGTATTTGGACCAGTTCACACTTCTCTGCGAGTTGGTCATAATATTGTTAATGTCACAAGGCAGTCCAGATACTGATATTCAGAGAAATCCAATTAACAGCAATGACTGTATGACCTTAGCTATATTAATAAAATCCGCAAAAATAATAGTATCAAAGGCAAAGTGGATCTTGACATATCCTAAGAACCAATAGCATACATTTCTTAATAACATAAAAGAAATCTCCCTCAGACAAAGGGCTTCTATCTAGAACATATAAAGAATTAAAAAATTTCAGCCCCTCCAAATTCAAAGACCCAATCCAAAAATGGGCAGCTGAGATGAACACACATTTCTCAGACAAGGAGATACAAACGGCAAATAAATATATGAGAAAATGTTCAACATCATTAGTCATTCGAGAAATGCAAATTAAAACAACACTGAGATTCCAGCTTACCCCAGTAAGAATGGCTAGCATTAAGAAATCAACCAATAACAAATGCTGGCGAGGCTGTGGAGAAATAGGAACCCTTCTCCACTGCTGGTGGGAATGCAGACTGGTGAAACCACTGTGGAAATCAGTTTGGAGATTCCTCCAAAAACTAGGTTTAGAGGTCCCATTCAACCCAGCTATCCCCCTGCTGGGTATTTTCCCAGTAGATCTAAAAACATCATATCACAGTGATATATGTGCACCTATGTTCATAGCAGCACAATTTGTAATTGCTAAAATGTGGAAGCAACCCAAATGTCCATCCACTGAGGATTGGATAAGAAAATTATGGTACTTTTATATAATGGAATATTACTCAGCTGTAAAGAAAGATAAACTCGAGTCCTTTATATTTAAATGGTCACAACTAGAGACCATACTCATAAGTGAAATAAATCAAACATACATGTGCAAGCACCGCATTGTGTCACTAGTGTAAAACTTGAAAGAGTTAATTTAAACTTGGAGGTATGATAGACACTGTGAAATGATAGGAAACCACCGAAGAGTAAAGGGCTTCTGGGATGTGGGAAAAGAGAAGGAAAAGAAGGAGAAATTTTGTATGTATATATATACAGGATAGATAACGTGGTTGTTCTATCTGCTGTTTCTATGCTGAAAGAAACTGTCAATGAGTCTTTGGTTGACCAGTATTGCATGTCTATATCTGTTTTCATGAGAAGCCACTTTGAAGATATCAATATGTAATACAACCACCATTGTTAATTCCCTACCACTTTGTTTGTAACTCTGTATTGTCTGTATTGTGCTTGTGATATGTTGTAAAATGTTGTATGTCTGTTAATGTTTCCCTCCTTTTATCCTTAAAATAAAATAAAAAAAAAGAAATCTATAATATAGTAACATATGTAGAATCAAACCAAATATTGACATATAGTAAATATATACTAATGGAAAAATTTTACCTCCACCAACAGTAGAGCAGTAGTCAATGTCAATAGCATAGAGTTAATTAACTATCTAAAATTACATTAACCTTAATATTGTACAAGTAAGGATGGAGATAATTGATAACCGGAGAATTAGAAAGGTAAGATTTGAAATGTTAATTATTGGAAGATGAGAAGAAGGAGAAAAAGTGTGATAGGAGATCCTATTTAAGATCAAATGGAAGTTAATGGTATGAGATAACTGAAATCAAAAAAAGAACAAAAGAGAAAGAAAAAACAGAGCAGAGAAAAAGGAAAAATGTCAGAAAGAACAAAGTTAAGAAGAGAAAAGGAAAAAATGTGAGAGACGAAATCCAAATCTCTAAAATTAACAAACAAACAAACAACAAAAGATAAAGGAAAAAACAAAGGAAAAGAAAAAAATTAGTTAATTACAAGAAATCCCTCTGTGTTTTTTAAGGAATTATTTCTTTTCAAGATCTTCACTCTTAGAATCCAATAAGTCTGTCTTTTCTCAGTTGACTTTCCCTTAAACTCTTTTGAAAGCTGAGATAAGTGATCTTGCACCAAGGGCAGAGAAAGAGCACATGGCTGTTTTTTCCAAAATTTTTCTAATGTGTGAAATATGTTTTCTCAGACAGTTTCTTGTTGATAGAAGAAATGCCTGACATCCACAAGTTAAAGGAGATCTTTATTCTGGCTCAGAGTTTGTAGAGGTTTCAGTCATCAGCTGGCTCTAGAGAAGTAGCAGAAGCTCATTTTCCCCATTCCAAAAGGTAGCAAAAGGAGACAAAAGCGAGAGCAAAATTCAGCAGATCAAACATTGTATCCCATAGTGCCCTGTCCAGCACTTGTGGCAATCTGTGGAAAGGTGTACGCTTCGAAGGGCTTGCATATTCTCACCCCTATGACACTTCCAGTGGTTGTAGTCTTCCTGTCCTCTCTCAGCTTAGTTTTTATCTCTCTCTTTGTGGCTTTCCACAGACAATGCATGTTTCCACCTTCTCCAACTTTCAGGGGTTTTCACTCTTCAGTAACTGTAGGATTCACTCATACCCAGAACTATATGATAAGCCAATCAGCTAGGAATTTCTTATTCAAAGTGACACAAAATAAAACTATCACAATCCATCCTTTGTCAGCTTCACACGCAGACACAAGTACAAGGAAAGGCTTATTTAATAAATCATATTTAGTCTCCAGATACATAGTCATTTATAATTACACCCAACATGGTACAAGTATCCTGCTTACAAATGGAAATGCACTAATTCCCTCCATAGAATAGAAGATAAGTTATTTCTTTGGATGTTTACTGCTAACATTTCAAAGCTGAAACATTGTAAGTTAATAACACTTTAGAACAATGTAAAGCCTATCAACATTATGTTGCAAAGCAAGCGTATCACAAGAGAATAACTATGATTACAATTCATATTTCTGTAACTAGTATTGGAATCATAGCTGGTATTTATAACTGTCTTCTTCTACTACACATTCTGTATTTCGTGGCCTTCACCAAGCTCCTCAGCAGGTCTAGGTTGTTTTCTTGGGCCACTTATCATCTTGCTTGGATGGGGTTGTTATAGTTTCCCATTGATATAAGAACAAGGCATGGTAATACTAAGAGGTACCCTTAAAAATCCCTTGCACTCAAATTATATTTATCTTTTCTTCCACTGTGGACTAATAGTCCACTGTATTATTGGTAATCTGGATCAGTCACTTCTGCCATCCCCGTTATTCACTTTTAAACTACTTTACTCAGAGGCATGAAGAACACAAAATGAACTGGGGAAAGTTTTAGCCTTCGATTCAATGGAATCATTGCTATGCTTCATGACACAAGGCTTTCTTTCCCTTTCTAGAACTAAGTCCTCTAGGCCAACTGAACATAAGGCCGTGAGAACAGGTAGCAAACATTTTGCCAATGGATATAGGGGTAATGGTGAATAAGACTTTGAATGCAGCTACTTTATCTGCCAAAGTGAACACAGTTGTTGTTCTTCTAGAAGTGACAGAATTCACTGATTAGTTTGAAAATGTCACACGTGTAAGAAAGTTTTGTGGCTCATTCTGTGCTACTGAAATATTTTGATATTGGTGATTGTTTTTCTAGAAGCAAACTCTATATCAGCTAGCTTAATGCAAAGATGCTGTTCAGTGGTATACCTTTAGAAATCTACCTAACCTCTGCATATAGGTGATGTATGCTTTTTGTCTCTATCTACTCTCAAAGCTACACAGACAGATGTGAGTTAAAGGCATTTACTTTAGTGGGGTTGATAAGTTTGATCATGTCTTGCAAAATATTAATTTCCAACTATGTTTTTTGGCTAGCCAGGGTTTCTCTAAGGATAACACAGTACACAGATTCACATCCAGCCTTTTTTTACCTGACTATTGAAAACAGAAAGCAGCCTCTCCCTCTATGCACAGATCCCAAATAATTAATTCAGTTTTCCCAGTATGTAATCATTCAAAGACTTGAATAGTTTTCCAAGACACAAAAACTTGCATTGCGCTTGCCAATATTGGTAGACTCATCTACCTGAATTGTGTGCCGCATTTACTTATTAATCATCTCTAATAATTAAGCCTCACCATCCTCTGTTTCATCAATTCATCTAGATATGGTATGAGAAGAGAGTGGTACCTGTGCCACCTTTTGAGCTCTGCCCTCTTGTAAAGTGCATGACAACTATCTTGAGAAATAGGCAGTATCAACTCTTCAAGGCTAAAAGATTCTTTAGCCTTAGCAATGAGGTTAGCCACTACTCTCAGTACAGACACATTTGATGAAGTAATGGCCTTCAAGAAGCTTGTGTTTTCCATAGTCACAATTTTTTTTCTATTGGTAAACTCCAAAGGCTTGTCTTTTCATGCAGTTTAATTGATATTCATGTGGCAAAGCAGGACTGATATTTTCACGGCTTGCTTAGATAGCCAGTCAACACATATCATACCAAGCAGGCTTGAAAATGTGAATCACCTGCTACAATAAATTGAATTTAAGTAGGACTCAATATTTTCTTTAATATCAGATATCTTTTGCTCATCATGGAGTCTTTCCCCCTTAACTCTCCAGTGACATATATATTTTTTTACTCAATCTAGCCAGGAATAGTTTGTAGATTTAAAAACTATCACTGAGACAAGTGTACAGTGTGGGAATTATGTGAACATGGAAGTAATACACACAATAAAGGTGTGTCATGCGTGGATTAAAAGTTTTGGATTCTGACTTAAAATCTTCCACTAATGCAGTTGTACAATTGAAGTACATCAGCTCTCTTGCCACTATAAAGCCTGCCACCTGATGCAGCATAATTTTCGCTTGCCACACTCAGGATTTTGATATGAGTCTGCCACCAGTTGATTTATTGTGGTCTCTGTGTAATCATATCCTTCTGTTAATGTTTTTTTTTATATTTGCAACCTTTTTCCAAAGTTAGCATCATGGCTTCAGCTCCACTTCACTTCATCAGGCATTAGATTCTCATAAATAGAATGCACAAGCTTTATTGATCAAATTTGAAGGCTACAGGTAGGATTTATACTTATGTGAGAATATAATGCCGCTACTGCAGATCATTCAGGAACTCAGGTGCAGTAGAGGGTGTAAATACAAATGAAGTTTCACTTGCCTTCTGTGCAGCCTGGTTCCTAACCAGAGGTAGAACTAGTTTAGCACTGGGGCTGAGGATCCTTGCACTAACGGATCGTGGAATATTGAAGAAGCTTTGCCTGTCTGAATACATTATACCTTGCCATAATGTATATTTTAAATAAATTGCTCAATTAAATTTGCTACTTCTTTGAAAATTTTTACATCTATATTCATGAAAGATGATAGTCTATCCTTACCTTTTTCTTGTAATGTCCTAATTTTGTTTGGATATTAGATTAATGTTGACCTAGTAGAATGATACAGGAATAGATATTGTAGAAAATTCGTATAATTTTTTGCTATAAATCACCTGTGAGTTCATCTTTGCCTTGTACTTCCTGCTTTAAATAATTACTGATTCAATTTTGTATATATATATATATATATATATATATATATATATATATATATTCCTATTCAGATGTCTATTTCTTTATTTTTTCTTTTGTGAGTTTGGGTAGATTGTTTCTTTTAAGGAATTCATTAATTTTATCTGGGTTATTAAAATTATAAGCATAATATTTTCTTTATTTTTTTAATGTCCATAGATTCAATAGTATTGAATCCTCTTTCAATTCTGATATTAGTAATTTGTGTCCATGCTTTTTTTGCTACTTATCCTTGTCAGCATCTTATAGATATTATTGATCTGATGCAGGAAGTAACTTTTTATATTTTGGTTTTCTACAATGATGTGTTGTTTACAATGTCATTGTTATCTGCTATAATTTTTATTATTTGTTTTACTCTATTTGAGCTTTAATTTGGTCTTCCAATACAAGTTTTCTAAATTGGAAACTCTTTACTAGTCCATGTTTGCAATACATAAATTTTATATTCATGGTGTGGAGTTGGTACAGTTACAAATCATAACTATATCTTTAGTTCCTATTTGTGTCTTCCACTCTTTTTCTGTCTATTGTGGCTTCAGAGGAGACTGTTATATAATTTTACCTCTTCTTTCTTAGAATAAATGTTATAAATCTTCAAAAAATTTTATTGTTTGTCTTAGATATTGCAATATAGACTTTTATCTTAGCTTAGTTCATTTTCAAATAAAACTATATCCTTTAATGATAATAGCAAAATTACCTTAATTCTTCTTTTCCATCCATTTTCTCATTGTTGTTATTCATTTCCCTAAAAATACGTATTTATAAGTACATGTATAGGCAGACATATTTTCCATCATCAAACAGGCTGTTGCAATTATTTGGAGCACACTTTTATCTGTTAGATCAATAAAGAATAAGAAAAGTAAAAGTATTTATTTTACTTTCAACTATTCCTTCTCTGTAGCTCTCTCTCTATATATATAGTCCTATTTCTAACCTATAGCTGATTCTCAACTTACAATGGTGTTATAGCGTGAAAAAGTAACATAAATTAAAAATAGTGTAAATTCAAATTGCATTTAATATACTTGACCTAATCTAAAATACATGATAGTTTAGAAGAGCTCACTGCCAGCATACTCAAAACACTTGTGTGACCCTACAGTTGAGCAGAATCAGCTAACACCAAGCTTATGTTATAATAAAAAGTGGAATCTCAGGTGTATGCACAGAATTGCAGGTAATCATCATTTTCAACCACAGAAAATCAAACAAAAGACAAGCTCCTGAAAGAAAGCAGAATGAAAAATAATCCCTTATGAATAGAGAAATATTAATCCTTTAAAAATCAGGGTGGAGACTTAGCTCAGCGGCACAGCACCTGCCTGGAAGGCGCAAAGTCGTGAGTTCGATCCCCGTACCGGAAAAAAACCAAAAAAAAAAAAAAAAAAAATATCTGAAACTCCTTGTGTCTCAATGGAAGGAATCACTGGAATTATTGTGTTCATGTTTTTGTATTTAATTTCAATATTTCTCTGTCATATTTGCATACTACGAAAAAATATAGTAAGTTCGTATACCTCATTAGAAACGATAATCTACTTCTTCTCTCTCTTTTTTATAGAAATTACTACTTGGGTTTAAGCGCATTCCTAAAATTTGTAGGAATTGCTTTAAGTTTTTTATTTTTTTATCTCGTGAAGAAGAAATATGGAGTAAAAGATGGCAACGCATTTGAAAATGGAGAAAAAGATACTAATGAAGTGAACTTAGAATCCTCAAAGAACAACGAATGCTTTGTACCTTCTGCAACAGTGAAAGAAACACATATTTAAGGGAAGAAAAAAATACTTTTGATGTTTCCAAAAAACAGTATGTTGATTTGGCAATGTGCTGTTTTTTTAGTTCCTGGTCATTTGACTGAGAATTCCCACAAAGTACAATGATAGAAAAACAAATAAGTTTATCATGAAAGAAACAATAAAGTAAAAGGAATGGGAAATAGTGTTAGGGGGTTGCTAGGCACTTGTGGTTAATATTGTAATATATGATAGGTGTAAATATAAAATGAGAGATCTAGCTAATGTGTAACAGAAGAAAAAATATTTGCTCAATTAATTGTGACTCAATAAGCTCAGTGACTAGAAAAAATAGAGGTGAAACAAAAGGTGAGAAATTTGTAGCATAAATAAGAAAGAAAAGCCTGCTGTCTTAGCCAAGAAAAACTGCATAGTTCTATTCTAGCCTGAAGTCTAACATGATGGTGGGTTCCTGTAATCTTAACATGTACTATTTATGTAATTCATACATTTCACAGACCTCATTAATTGAAAGTTTGAAGTTGTATTTGACTAATGAACAAGGGGCACCTTCTTCCAATAAAACTCTGCTGAAGGAATTGAGATATTGAAAAATGTGCAAGCTTTAATTATCAGAGAACATTTTAAAAATGTAAGCATCTATCAGAGGCATGGATATCAACTAAGGCAAACTAACTTTGACATCAGAAACAAATATTATTTAATAGACACGTTTTCATTTTATTCATTTGTTCTCTGGAAAATGTGAAGTCTATACCAGATACAGTATGAGCTATCATCCATCTGTTTTATTTGTTTGTTTGTTTCTTCATTCATTTACTTTGGTGAAAAGAAAACCTGTCATTCATATTTCTATCAGAACAAGAAGTATAGTCAACGAGAACAGATCTTTTAATGTTATACTTTCTTGTGCTGCTGAGTATATTACAATGAATTCTAGAGGTTCATTCTCATTGTCTGAAAAGTTTTTACGTCTTGTTTGCAACAGGATCACCTGTAAAACCAAAGAAAATTGCAATAGTAGTTCCATCCCAGCCATTTTTACTTAAAACATGTATAGCGCACTGTGGACAAAGCAAATGAGAAACTTTGTAATGATATGAGCGCTTGACTGAAGACAAAGTACAGGTCAGGAAAACATATATGTGAGTAGAACAATGTCATGAATGCTTGCTTGAAGCTAGGAATTGTTCTGGAAGTCATACATATTAACCTATTTTCAGACTATAGACCTGAGAAAAGATTTACTAATCAAACAGGAATTTGGAACAAAAATGTTACATGCTAGGTTAATTTGCATCACATAAAAGATGTTATACCCGATAGGCAGGTATGTGATATTATGTCTCATTAAAAACAAATAGAAAAGAAAAATAAATAAATAGGAAAACTGGAGCTGTTTTTAAAAATATTACCAAGAAAAAAGACAACCTCTTAAATGTTTATTTAATAATTATTGAACACTAGCTATTTGTCAGATGGAATGTGAAGAGAAAATATAAAAGTAAAACTGACACTCCTATGTTAGAATATTTTTAAAGGGGAAGATGGACATTAACATTAAATATGAAATATTATAAAAGAATAAACTTACAAATATGGTATAGTCACTGTAAGAAAGAGGAACATTACCTTTTTTTGCTTTTTTTTTTTTTTACCTACTGCATAACCCCAGAATCCATAAAAATGCTAATCATTAATCCAGTGACATTTTGAACTAGAAAAATAGCACATAAATTCAGTACAAATGAATATGGTCAGGCAATTTTGTAAGGAATTAAAATAAGGTAAGCACATAATGAAAATGTATATTGAGTAAGGTTAAAATAAGACAATGACTGCAAATATCAAATCACTGATGACATTAAATTTAAATTCTCAAACTTGAAAAGGTGAAAGAAAAAGATACTCAATTTGTGAAAGGATTTACAGGGAAATCTAACACACCAACCTAAGAAATATGAAATTCTTGAGAAAAAATTGGAATTGGAAAAGAACTATTAGTCAAAGACACAATGGAAGAATGGATTCCTCCTCTGGAAAAAGATGAACCTACTGACCAGGCTGTTTGTACCCCATCTCCCCACCTCCATCTGTTTTTTGTGCAATGAACCCTTTACCATACTCCTTCTTTTTCCTGAAATGTTCTTTGTTTTCTCCATTTAAATATTTTTCAGTGTTCACATCACCCTCCTTTGAATTTTTAAAATTTCATCACTTGTTAAAATTTTATTATATCCATAGCAACATAGCACTTATTAGATGGTAATATGGTTGAGTTATAATCTTACATATCTTTATGATTATTGGAAAAGTAAATGCTCTTTCACTTTTCATAAGTTCCATGAAATAGAAACTGAATTTGTTTTTACACATTGAATACAGATAGATAGGTAGATGGATGATAGATGATAGATAGATTATAGATAGATGATAGATAGATAGGTAGATAGATGAGATAAACATATAGGTAATAGATAAAATGATAGATACTACTGATTAGGGAGAGAGAGAGATAGAGACAGAGCTAGAGATGGAGAGAAAGAAAGAGAGAGAGAGAGAGAGAGAGAGAGAGAGAGAGAGAGAGAGAGAGATATTACCTAAGGGAATCCATTCAAGGACTTACAAAGGCCTGAGAGGTCTCAAGCCATCTGCAAAGCTGGAGACTCATATGTCAGTGGCATGGCTGGTCCTATGCTCAAGGCTTCAGACCCAGAGAGTAGGTGGTGTACTCTTCATTTGAAACTTAAGATCTGAGAAAGGTGGAAGTCCTCTGTTATAATCCCAAAGTCATGTTTGAGGGCAAGAAAAGTAGGGTACTCCAGCTCCAGGAGAAAAGAGAGAGAGAAAGTTTGCCTTGCCTCTGCTTTTTTTTCTATCCAGCACCCTACACAATTAGATAGTACCATGTTAAGAGGATCTTCCCATTCAGTCTATGACTTCACATGTGAATGTCATCTGGAAACACCCTCACAGATACATCCAGAAATGAGGCATTTCTACTTCTCTAGATATATCTTAATCTAGTCTGATTGATAGAAAAAAATCAACTAGCACATCCATTTAATTCCTAGCATCTAGCTTGTTGCCCATCACAGAGTAGGTGCTTTATTTATTAGTTTTGAAACAATGAATGAATGAGGACATGGATATGCAAATTCCAAAAAAGCAGCATATAAAGTATGAATTCTACATACAAACAGCATAACATGTTAAAATTAAAATAGCTACAATAAAGTCATGAAGTGCTGTGATTATTTCAGGTGTTTGGAAAACGTCTTTATTGTGAAAATTTAAATTGTAGAAAAAGAAAAATATCTTTGGATTTAAATCGATGTGCTAATGTTGAAAAATTTTTAGAAAAAAGAATCTTTTCCTACTTGGTGAGCTCACAAATGAAGTGAAGACCTAGACATATAATATGATAAATATAATATAATGAATACTATAGTAGAATAAAACTATTGATGTTCATTTAGAGGGACCATGATCATCTATTTCAAATTCAATATGTGTACTTCTGGAGACTTTACCAAAATAAAGTGATTGATAATGATAAATATTTGGCAGTGGCTATTGTCCTTTTCCTCTATGCCTCCTACCATTCCTGAATAGACTTGCTTCCTACCTGGAAACCAAAACCCAAACACATGATAAGACAATGACACAAGTGATATGATTTCAGCAAAAACATAGAGCACTGCTGACCACTACTCTGCACTCATACCTCACTCTGCTACCTGGGCTTTCTTATAATATTCATTGTTGCAACAAGTTTCATCATATATTCCCTGTGAATTATGACTTGGGCTTGAGTGAAGTTGGAAGAGATGATATTATCAATGACTTCATAGTATGCAATTTCAATTATTTTGTAGTTGTTGGTGATTCATTTGCTACTGGGTTCAAATGCATGGCTTTCAGTATACCAAGCATGTGTTTTAATACTGCTGTAAATCTCCAGCCCTAATCATGTATAAGAAGCAGGTTTTTGATAGAGTAGAAATGAAATTGAAGATATTCACAGAGCAAGAAAACAATTCAAAAATTTGTCTAGAGCAGGTCTTACCAATAAAGACTAAATGTTTACACTCTCAAAAGGAGGTTCCTTTGAGACACATGCATTTAAAAATTAATTTGCCTAAAAATTCCACGTATACTATAGCTGATGTTTGGTTCCATATAGCTGATGTTTGATTACTTTTTCTATTTTGATTGTGGTTTTGTTATCTTTTAATGTCTCAGAAATTTTTATTGAAACTCATAAGTATAGCATAGGAGAGTAGATACAGCAGTACATTTTTACATATGTAGACGTGCATGTCTTTTGTTTTGTTGTAGTGTATGGGTTTGTTTCAGATGTAGGCTGAGTTTTTCTTTTGGGAGGGGTACCAGGAATTGAACTCAGGACCTTGTGCTTGCCAGACTGGCGCTTGTGCAGATGAGCTATATCCCCGGCCCTTAGGGCTGAGTTTGAAGTCTGTTGTTGGGTGCATCAAAGGCTTCAAATTCCTCTAGGGAAGGCTGGTATTTATTGTCTGCCTTGCTGCAAATTTGATTCTCACCTTTGTCCCATTACCCAGAAACAATCAGTCTCTTATAATCCTTCCAGCTTTACTCCAATCTTACTTTTACAGGATGCTTATCAGCTGGATAGAGGGGAGGCATTGGAGGGAAGAATGGGTTCTCTGTTGTCCTGATAAGGTCATTCTTACGTGAGCTCTATTCCTCAGGAATCTCCATCAGTACCTTCAAGCTGTAGTTTTTTTCTCCCTTCCCCACTGAGATAAAGATTGTGCCTCAGGGAAGAAAGGAGGGATTGATCTTAAACAGTATTAGTGGTGTTCCTAACCAGCCAGGACCAGTTGGGCTCAGAAGATTTACTCTACCCTCCCAATACCTCTAGGAAGAATCAAATCCAAGAGATGTCAACTGTCTATGTCTAAAGGGTCAGGGGCTTCACTTTTTCATTCCAACCTGTGCATGGTCTTTAGAAGGTCATTACAAATATCTAGATGAGTTATTTTATTGACATCTATAGTATTGGGTGTCTTCTGCACTGTACTAGTATGTTTTCTATTGCTATAGAAAAAATGCCTAAGGTTGAGTCCATTAAAAAGTAAAGAAGGTTATGTAGCTCAGCTTTGAAGCTGAAAGTGCAAGACAGGTGACTTCATCTGTATGATTTTGTTGAGGCTCTCAGCAGACATTGCAATTGTAGGACTGCATGTGGAAGACACTGAATGATGAGACAGGAAGACAGAGCCACTGGGCTCAAGGTTGGCCTTGTTTTTATAAAAACCCACTCTTTTAGGAACCAAACAGAGTCCCTTAAGAGCTACATTATCCCCTCTGAGAACATCACCATCAGTGACCCAAGAATCTTACTGGCCCCATCTCTAAAGGCTCCACCACTGAAACATTACCATATTGAGGGTCAAGCTCTCAACAGCTGAACCTTTGAGGGATGAGCCACATCCATCCTACAGTGTATCTCAAGTAAGTAACAGACAGCTGCCTGTGTCTCTCCAGATTTCCAGTTAGCTGCTGGGCCAATAACTTCAGTGTACTCTCAGTTCGAGAAAAGTTGTAAATGTTATTTTAACCAGATGTTTTCCTGTTCTGAGGTTGTGGGTGAGACACTTTCTGCTACTCTCTGCATCTCTGACTGAAACTAATGGTTGGGTTTTTATTCCTTGGGAAGCAATAGATAATGTGTTTCCATTAGTTTTATAAATTTTCAAGACCAGTTTTAATTGAGAGCACCTCTCTCCTTCTTCATCACCTGATTATAGTTAATATATTACCTAATAACAAATTATGTATCCAGTTATCACACTTGGCTTTAGTAAACAATTTTTAGCATGTCTGTCATTGAGAAATGTATCTCTCCTAAAACATCTAATCCGTAGTTCCAAGTCATCAGGCAAAAAATTGCTTGTTTTTGTTTTTGTTTTTGTTTTTGTTTTTGTTTTTTAGGTCCTTTTATCTTTACAGTTGGCATATTTAAAGAGATTGTTTAAAAATTTCTAAATCTGGTTTCCAAGCCACTGTACTTTTTATTAAAAATGTATCTTGACACTTACTTGTGCATACAGGGATCTAGTGATGCACTCTTTGTAATATCTGTGCATGAATATGAGGCATTTAAACAGTGGGAAAAAATAGAGAAAATGAAGCAGAGAAATAGATGCTTTCCAAGGCTGAAGAACAAAGAAAGATTACACAGGCTTTGATTGACTGGTGAAAAAGGAAGGAAAGGAGATGGAAGAAAGAGAAACAAGAACAGAACAAGACAACAAAAAATTAGAAACAATGTTCACACTCATTTAGAAAGAACAAACAATCAAAAAGAAAAGGAACACACAAAGAAACAAACAAAAAGGCAAAAAACTTGTCCACTTCAGTGTATGTCTCTGCTGTCAGTGGTAGACAAAGGGGATAGACATAGCCCAGATCCGTGTTAGTTGATCTCAGCAAGCCTGCAGTAAAATTATGGTGGGGTGGTGGAAAATCCCAGCAAATCTGTGTTTTAAACTTCACTGAAGTTTAAGCTAATCATAGATTGTGGTTGGGAGTTTGGGACTTGAGCCAACACAAGTTCAGCCAACACACTCTGTGTCCCTTTTGCTGGCCTGAACTGGATTCCCCCAATCACAGTGGTGACCCTCAAATTACACAAAGGTGCCAGTGATCTTTGAAGATGTGGCTGTAAAATTCACTGTAGAGGAATGGGCTTTGCTGTATTCTTCTCAAAAGAAGCTTTGCAGAGACATAATATCAGAAAAACTGAAGAATGTTTATGCTATATAAAGAAACTAGGATAGTTAACAATCTGAAGATGAATGAAAATATTGGAGGAAAAACCTAAGAAGTGAAGGGGTGGAACTGTACTGTTAATGTAAATTGTGGCATCAGCATGGAGGAAAAATTTTTGACTCCAGATCTTGATGTGCAGATAAGACCACTTGGTGCAAAACAAGCTAAAAGTTTTGTTTGTAGAAATGTCCTGATTGGCCATTCATCACTAAATGTGCCCATGGTAGCTTCCTCTGCACTCAAATCATGAATAAGATGGATTTGAAGAGAAGCTGTCCAAATGAAATGAAGATAAGGTAGTCTACTGTGATTTCTTATCCATTCACAATGCCTATGAAAATACATAGCATTGGAAACCTACTCTGCTTATAGCAAAGGAACTCATACTAGAGAATGCACCATGTATGTAAGCAAGACACCAAAGCCTTTGCTATATTCAATTGTGTATTTTGTTAAAATTAGGTGTATTTTTAAAAGGTGGTTGCTCATGTGTATTTAGAAGAGTTCAACTCTTTAAATTAACTTGTGCATCAGTAAAATTAGGATTTTTATACCTTGAAAAGATATTTGCTTGTATTCCAAAATGATTATAGATTATACATAAAGTAAAATAAAATAATTATTGTTGTATATGTTTTCAAGACATAATAATTACATTCATCTTGGTGAAATTGTACACACACACACACACACACACAAACATATATCACCTTGATCATTTTTTATTCCAACTTTCTGCCTCACCTTCTCAGTCCTATACTGTTAACCTCTTCTCACCCTCTTCTTTCTTCCACTCATCCCCTTTTGCATCTCCAAGGCTCTACCTTCTCAGTTGCTATCATCTTTCCTTTTATCTAATTATTTATAATTTTGATTTGTCAAGTAAGAGAAAATGTACAATACTCAACTTTAATTCTGGCTTATTTCACTTAACCTGATGAACTTGAGTTTCATCCACTTTCCTGCACATGACAAAATTAGCACTTTATGGCTGGAAAAGTATTCCACTGTGTATATATACCACTGTTTCTTCATTTGCTGTTCTGATGATGGGCACACAGGTTGATTCCAGAGCTTAACAATGGTGAATTGTGCTATTAGAGACATACGCATACATGTAGCCTTGTAGTATGACATCTTTAATTATTTTAGAAATACACCCAGGAAAGGTATCTCTTGTTTCATGGTATTTTGGTTTTTGGTTTTCTGAAGAACCTGCATTCTAATTTCCATAGTGGTTGCTAGTTTACTTTCACATCAATAATGTAGAAGCCTCCATCTCCTGTATTATTTTCAGCATTCAGAGTTCTTGTGTTCTTGATAATAGTCATTCTGACTGGGGTGAAACTGACTCTGAAAGAAGTTTTGATTTGTATTCTCCAATGGCTAAAGATGTTAAATTATTTCTTTGCATATGCTTATTGGTCACTTATGCCACTTCTTTTCTGAAATTTGTATTACAGTTATTTGTTAATTTTTGGACTGGATCATTTGTTCTGGGTATTTTACATTTTTTATTTATTTTTATATTCTGGATAGTATTCTTTTAACAGAATAGCTTGCAACAAGTTGTTCAGACTCTACAGGTTGTCTCTTTACTCAACTGAGTTTTTCCTTTGCTGTGCAGAAAGTTTCTGTATAATATAGTCCTATGTATTGATTCTTGATGTTACTTCCTGTACTATTGGAGTTCTGTTCAGGAACATTTTTGCCTGTACCTTGGCTTTAAGAGTTTTCTCTA